AGGATACACATCCAGTCAATCCTGTCAGATCGGTCGGTTTTGTGACCATGTTTCGCATTGACGTGAGAGTGAGTTGGTGGGGGATTTACAATCCGGCGCCCATTTAAACTTCCTCTTCCTCCTCTTCAATCACATTATGCAATGGCGCTCCATGGACATAGCGCGCAGGGCTTGCACGCCCTGTCTCCTCAACATTGACACGGGGTGGCTCGACAAGTGTGGGCTCAGGAGAAGGCACCTTGGGTGAAGGGGCCTTAAGCACAGGCGCAACGATGGGAGACGGGGTGTCTTGACTCAAGCCTAACGAAACCGTGCGAACGGGGAGGCGCGAGGGCTGGAGAGGAGTTATGGGGATTGGAGCGGGCATGGCCATAGATGTTGCTGGGGTGGCAGGTTTAGGAGAGGACCCGCGTTCGCGTTCGCGGTACATTTCAATTAGAGCGGCAGTTTTGCTGGTCGGTGTCGAAGTTGGGGCTGCAGGGGTATGAACACCGTTGCTGGATGGTTTAGAAGTCACAGGCTGTGGCTCAACCTTCGCAGGTTCGATCTTCACGACAGGGATAGGTACAAGGGGTGAGGCCTGCGCTGGGGTTGGGGGGATGGGTAGCTTCCTGAGAGGCTGTGTGGGAGGTACAACTTCAGACAAAGGTGTGTCATCGTCGTTATCACTGTCCGCATCATACACCAGCCGAGCATCTTTGTCGTTCTTTCGCGGCGGGCTAATCTGGCCTGGCCTGCGTTCAGGATGAAAATCGAAATAGCCCATACGTCTCTGGTTCTTTGCCAAGAGCCGGGCAGTACTTGGGCTCTGTTGAATTAACTCCTCTTCATCGACAGGCTCTGGTTCGGGCTCCTCATGTTCCACGGAGTGATCATTGGTGTATTCGCTTGCCTCGCTCGTGCGTGGAACTGTTTCGATCTCATCTACATCTGCGTTATGCAGATGATCCAACCCGCCAGCGGGATCCCTGTCCACCCTCTCGTGATGCACACTGGGAAGTGATGGCGTACGGTCCCTAACGCTCGCTAGTACCTGTGCAACCTCTAGGCTTGCCATGTCAGGATCGGAGCGTCGGGAGTGCAGTCCAGAGCCCATCATATCCGCCTCCTGCCCTGCCATGCGCCGCCTCTGTGAACCAACGAGGATGTCCACCCACGCGTCGTCCTTCGACTGGCGCCGCTTCTGCTTGACAGACTCAGTCTCCGGAGGCCCTGAATACTCATCGTCGCTATAACTCGCCAGCCTAGTCTCGAAATCGACTGTCGAGTATTCGGATGGGGCCATGCCCGTTTTACGGCCGCCAGGACTAGGTACGGGGATCCCGCCTGGCAAGCGAAAACGCGACGAACGTTTAGCAGAATTGATCGATGCCGACATCGTCGAGTCCGAGTGCATTTCGTCACTTTTAGGGGCGGGGGGGATGTCAGGAGCAGGGACATAAAGAGGACTGGAGATGGAAGCCGTTTTGGCTGATGCCGGCGCTGGTGGTGGTACGGGCACGGTTGGTGGTGTTGGTGCGGATGCTGGTGTGGGTGAGGGCGCTTTCCGGCGTACTGGCATGGGTTCAATGGGGGAGAGTAGCTCTGCCTTGGTGGGAGGAGGTACTTTGATTGAAGGCTTCGATTCGAGGGTGATGACCTTCGTGTCACCTCCTCCGCGTAACAGCCCCTCGAATTCGACCTCGCGATATGTAGGCCTATGAGGTACGTGGCCAACGACGTACGGGCGTCCGTTGAGCGTAGCAGCTTGTTTCCACGGCTTGGATTTGGAAGAAGTAGAGAAAAATGAAGGGATTCGCCGCCGTGTTGAGGGTGGGATGGCCAACTGCTGCCTGTATTCAAGAGGTACGAACTCTTCATATAGTATGAGAGTAGTCGCTGTACGGGGATCTGAACCTCCAGAAGCCGTCGTTCGATTTACTGGGAGGGATTTGAATTCAACCTATATGTCATTGATTAGATATGCTTATAGATGTAGAGAGATCGTGACGTACCAAAGCCCAGTTACAATCCCTATCAAGTTCTTCATATCTCTCAAGATCCATCCAACCACCGCCGTATACGAGATCGCAGAACACATCAACGAAAGGTTCTTCAATGACCTCCTCATTAACGACAACAGGTTCAGTGTCCCATCCAAATGGCGGGAGAGCTTTTTCTGTCTTTTTGAGCTTCTTCGACATCTCAGCGTTATGTGCTGGCCATGCAGAAATCGTCTTTGCAACAGGAGGACTAAATTGCAATGTTGCGCTTAGAGGCCCATCAGTGCGAGTAAAGCCTGATGACGAAAAGTCGTTCCATGAAAGAGTTTCTCGCTTTGTAGAACGTTCCTAAATGAAAAGGCTCCACCATGAGTACATTACAAATGGGAAATAACCATGACAGGCGCAGATGTTAAATAAACTCACCGTTCTTGCAGTTTCTGTCAGATCAAACTCCAACTTCTTCTCGTCCCCAAGCCCACTGAAGCCCATAGACTCAAACTCACCCCACCTTAAATCCGTCAAGCTCCTAAAGCGGTCCTCACCGGTACGCGTATTAAGGCCGAGGCCAAAATAATCGCTCTCTGTGCTGGTAGAAAATGAGGAGGCATACGACGATGTGGACGACGCGGTGTTCAATCCGGGTGCAGAGACTGCCCCCGTATCCGGGTGGAAATTTACAGGCATGTCCATGCGCTTCCTGTACGCGTCTGAATAGCGTGGAGACAGCTTAAGCGTCGCGGGTGCAATACGGCCCCACTCCTTCGACACAGCCAGCCCGTTCTTGCTAGGGCCAGACGCGTCGTGACGGTTTGCCCACGTCGCAGCAGTCTTGACGAGGTCCGGAGAGTACATCCGTACGTTCCTGCGCACACTCATCACACGTACGGTGCGTACTCCGCGACGCGCCTGAGGCTTCTGATGAAGTTGGTTAGAAACGGGGTCCTGCAGGAAGGGTAACATTGAAGGGTATCCTTTAATCCACTCCTTCAAGCGCGTCGGGACGCCAAGGGCAGCGGCACTGCCAGTAATGGTCACCTCACCAGTTGTGCGTGGACAGTCCTGCCAACGGATGAAAACCAACTGAAGGTGTTCCATGGCATTCACGGCGCGAAGATAGTGAGTGTAAGTGTGATGAAATGCAAGCGTGGCTGGTCCGAGGCCAAAAAGAAGAGGTCCGAATAAAGGGGACAGAGTTGGAGGGGTATGGCCGGAGCTTGTACTGTTTGCGGTCAGACGTGATAAAAGAGTGAGTAAAGTTATGAGAACTGTCTGAAGCGTCGGATTGAGATCCTGAAGGAGAGTGGAGAAGTGTGCAGGAGGGTAGCCTTGGGCTAAAAAAGTCTAGTTCAGTGAAAGTTGAGTGTGTGAAGGTTAGACGCCTGTACCTGCTTCTGAATCTCGGAACTCGACGTAGCGATCCCAAGAGAGGAGTCCGCGCACGTCCTGGCCACCGACGGATCTGATGGCTCTAGCAAGGCCCCACCGCAAGCACATCCCAAGCTCGTGCGGTCCCGCAAAACGTGCTTCGTCTCTCCAGCGCACTTCTGCGTCTGCCGCGGCCTGGGCCGACTGGTTAGCGCATGTTGCTAGGAAAGCCTGAATGAGTCTCTTGATGGCCGACGACGAAATATCCAGCGCCGTCGTAGAAAAAATAAAAGGGGTAGTGATGCCACCTCGTGTCCCCAGCTCTTCTGAAAGGACGATAACTAAACGCCCCACCTGCTCGAGGCCAAGAACGACGTGCCGCTGATAAGACAGATAGCCATAGTCGTGTTCCAGAGCAGCATCGTCTCTCGGTCGTTCGAGACTGAGTGGTAGGAAACTTCCATCAGGGATGGGTGGTGGAACGTCTGGGCTCTGGGTGTACTCGCGTGCGATACCTTGCGCCTTTGCACGTTTTTCCTGCTCCTTTGCCTTTTTCTTGTCCTTTTTTGAAGTTGGAGCGGGAGAGTTGGAGGCAAAGTTGGAGAGTCTGCTGGAGATTCTGCCAAATTCGTCGAGGACGTTGGATTCCTGAGGTGAGGGTAAAGAATGTTTTTTTGGAGTTGAATTTGTACGAGAACGAGAGAATATGCTGGGCATCGGGACGAACGCTGAACGAGCCTAGAGTCCAGCTGCCAATGGTCGTCAGTCCACCGTGGTTGTTGTGCCCAAGATGATAACTCGGAAAACTCCGTGCGGTGGCCGACTTTCATCTCACAATCGAAGCACCATACCCCTTTGCCATTATCACCTAGATCTGCGAGAAGAAAGCTATTGCACGCCGCCCCCATACTCTTCTTTCTTCATGGGCTTCGACTGCGCTTCTCTGCAACGAACATCACGCCTCCGTGTCATGATCATCCCCACGAGCGACATGACCATAGTTATTTTCCCCCTTTCATATGGTACCATTACCTTTTTCAAAAGCAAAATCGAACGATACGAATACCAGGACTAGAAGCCCTTCGTAGGATAGAAAGCACGCCGTATCGGCTCAACGTCGGGGACGTACAGAACGGACGGAAGCATTGGTTGCAACGTATGGTGAGGCGTTAAAAAATCCTATCTAAGTAGCTCAAAGCCCATCCACATCGGACTCCATCGGACAACCTACCGTGAGCCCTGGAAGCTTGATGAACACTCGTAATACGTCAGAATTCTTAAGGGATGAGTCTCCTTGCAATCACGGGAGGGTGGTGGGGCTCAATTATCAAAGCTTTTACAGAAGAATAAATAAGCTTGTAAACTGTATTGCTCTTAAGTTCTAGTAAGAGTAGCCCAGGAAAGGTGACAACCTAACAACAGCAGATTGGCCGGTCCGGGATCCGGTGCCTTATTTGTTTCTCTTTTTTTTTGATTCCGTTCAACTGTCTTCACCAGTCCTTTCCTGCTCCTCCAGGTGCTTCAGAGTCTATCTGTTCGTACAACCCAACTTTGCAATAGGCTACCGTGGCTCGAAAAAATCTTGAACTCCAAGGTTCCTCGTACTTAACTGGGGCTGATAGATAATCGCAGGGACACCAACAACTCTAAGTCCTGTTCGATTAGTTGGTTAAATCATCTCGTTGTGGCGTTTCGGCGAAACCCTGTGGCTCCGAGAAGCCGGAAGTTCGAATCCTCCACAGGACATCTTTTGCTGTGTTCTTTTTCACGATCATGAGATCAGGAGTCAATCATAAAGTAAGTTTTGTGTACATTCCAGTATATCGTCCAATCAATTTCTGACTCCTTCGTTGCGTTGATTTTCTCTTAAGTGTCTGTCATGTTTTCTTCTCTATGACCTGCTTGTAACTGAACTCGTACCTGGCAGGCAGTCAACCTATGTCAAACCTTCTTGCGGCACCACACTCACCCCGTGAGCAATGATCACCCTTCTTGAGTGAGGATCAAGTTAGGCCTCAACTCGAGAAAACTTTTGGACAATTAATAGCTCCCCCGCCTCAAGGCTCAACACCGAGTAAGTAGGTCAACCTTATCGATGTTACTTGGTTCCGGAGATCGCACCTACCTTGTCGTTCACGCTTCCACCAATATCTATGTCCTGCGATTCTGGCCAAGCGAGACCAAGACTGGGAGTATGAAACCCAGGACTCAGGATCCACATAATCATGACGATATCCAGGTGACACTTTTGTTCAACCTGTATTTTTGTTCCATGTTGCCACTAGATGTTCACGTAAGATCCATGATCTCCATCTCAAAGACGCTTACGGACGTTGCCGCAGTCACCCAAATAGTATCCATTTCCCGACCTTGACGATAGTTCACAGCGCCAATGCCTCACGCCTCGGACTGTAACGCCTCCATGTCGCTACCACCCCCGGACCCGAGTTCTAAACTGTAGTTCTCATTTGAGCCTCTGCATTAATCCAAAGAACGCAAACGCACGGTCATTCTATGGACCACTAACATCCGGCTCCTTGTTCGGTCTGATCCTATAGAATAGCGACCTCGTGTTATCTGTTCCCATGAATTGTAAAACTACCGCATAAGCCAGTGCTCATCAACGCGATGATCATTTTGAGATACATCACTCCTGCTGATCTGATCTGTTCTGTTCTGCCAGGGCCACAACTCCCGACGTTTCATCTTACTTATACTAGCCTAATAGGCTTTGTGTGTATATATAGTTTATGTGGACCGTCGATATTAAGGCATGCGAAGACTGGACCCCGTAACATCATCCTTGCTTGTGTATAGCCAGCCAAATCACGTTCGCTTTCTGAATCTCGGACGCGGATATGTCGCCGGAAGACTTAGAACAGTCCTATCTAGTTGCTTGGTCACGCTATATTGGAGGTGAGTGTTCTTATCCAGGCCAATGCTCATGAACCATCTCTGAGCTTCGATGCCCTCTAGCTGCAGGTGTCGTGGTACGTACGCTCCCAAACGTCGTTTGACATCGAGAATATTCAATAAATTGATCCTTCTAGATCCTGCTCTATAATCATCTCCTTACGGTCGACGATGAAGTGAAGTACATCTGGAATGCTAGGTGGTCGGCGTCGAAGCTCCTGTTCTTAGTGCTACGATATGCGCTTCCATGTAGTATCGTTTGGCACAATCATCGTGAGGCCAGTCCTGCCGTCAATGCCTACTCTTCTCATAATGTCATGATGGGCTCTGCAGAACTTAGCTTGATCGGCGCTTCCCACTTCTCGACTACAGTATGTGACTCTCATCATGCTTGCCATGCCGTTGATTGCTGACCTATGAAACAGTTGTGAGCAATTTAAAGAAAAGGCTTCGAATTTCTGGTAACTGATGAGCACACAAGCTGTAAAAGATGGTTCATTACCGCGGTATGCCTGTTCCCACTCCTCCGATCCGTCCACCACTTCATCCATTTTTAGGTGTGCATCTGTATTGTCACGACCGGACCTATGCATTGTATGTGGCGCTACTTAATATCTATCAGTTGTATACACTCGCCATACAATTATCTGATCCTAACTTTCAGTTTTCGTCCTGCTAAGGCTGTGGCTCCTGTCTCGCCGTAATCAACGCCTTGTGTTTGTGACCCTCGGTGCCTTCTTCCTAACAGAGCTGGCTATCGCGGCGTGTGCAATAATGGTTAGCATCAAAGTGACACGTAAGTTCAACAAACTCAAATCAACTTATGAATCCGCTTCTCACCCTATCCCAGCATTTGTCTTGTCTGTATCAAATCTATCTACGTCGCCCAAAATCGACACAAATGAGAAGACACGCTGTATACTCCAAGATCGCGGCATCTTTTGGGTTATTTTTGTCCCTGGTGTGAGCTGGCAGCGTCGCCATTCAACCTTCTTTTTTATGCTCAGCTTGCCCATACATAGATGGTTTTTGAGGTCTTTGCTCTAATTGTAATCCTCTGCTATTCCATGAAGACTTTCAAAGGGCACGCGTCGACATTTCGCGACATCCTCCATGAGAACGGCATAGGAAAGATCCCGGTTCGTATCAATCGTTCTTATGCTTCTTCTTGTTCGGAATCTCACTGCTGGGTAGCTTGTGTTTTGTGAGAAAAGTCCGTGAAATTTTTTAACTTCACTCATTTAGTATGTAAGGCTTGAATGGGTCCAAGCTTCTGGGGTCAATACTAATTCCAGTAAGGACTCCCAAAATTCCGTCGAGCTATATTTTCTCAACACACCACGCAACAGACCTCCGTCTTATTCTATTATATGGTGTTCGTTATCTTTTTCTTCATCCCTTACCTGCTTCATGCTAACGTGTTCTCTAGTCTCCTTTGGTGTACAACGACAATTCTGATCACGGCGATGATCATCAAGCTACGTGAGCATGGTCTGACGCAAAGGGAGCACGAGACCCATGTTGTGGAGCAAGAAACTACAAAACTGGCTATGGAGGACCAGGGCAGCTTCTGAAGTTGGGTCTTGCTGAACGTATTTACCAAATCGCCAGTTCATTGTAGGGAACTTTGAAGACATGTAGTACATTAGCACAATATATATTATGCCTGTCGCAACCCGATTGAGAATTGATGAAGGATATCCAATATGCTGATAGTGGTACTTACTTAGTTATCACTAATACTCGGGAAACCTTTACTTGTCCCCTCAACAGAATGTTACTGATACATGAAGGCATCTCCCCTCAACTTTCAGTTGAACAACCGATCAAGGCCGCGCACTGGTGTTATCATAATCAACCTGGCGTTACAAGATATCTGGCAGAAAGAACACACAAATTAACAACACCTGTGACTGGGTGTACTTCACAATGAGACGAATACCACAGCCGCGCTCTTCTCGGATACCTGCTTCTCTTTGACCACGACTAGCCAAGTAGGCGTAACATGCGTCGTTCTTCGGGGATGTCTTCGGATGCGACTGCCTCAAGCTTCGCGTCGCGACCCTGTGGTCCTTAGTCGCAATAGCACAACTGGGTTGCTGCCAGTGGGACTGAGCCTTTGTTGCTTTTGTTTGAATCAGAATGCTTTTAAAGCTTTCTTTGCCGGGGCGACCTCAAACCACTCAGCACCGTCGAGGTTTTGTTTAATCATATTATGGCGTCTCTGCAATAATCTATGGACAAGAAATCGTCTCAGAATCAATGTTACCGCCGAATATCACCGTTACGTTCAACTTGACGCATGTCTGAATGACAGGACCCCCCTAATGTCCCAGTGTTCTGTGCCGAACTCAGGTCGAGGACCGTGTTTGACCGTCCCTCCCCGAGTTACAATCCAGACCTTGAGGGTTTGCCTCTAGTAGCTGCAGTTCAGTTTGCGATGTCGCCTTCGCTCCTCCTTTGCCTCTTTCTCCAATAGCAAAATCGTGTGTAATATCCTCGCGCCGACAAAGACGATCACTATCGCCTGTATGTTGGTGGGTCCTCTTGTGTTTCTATCATTAACATTATTATGAACTACACGCCATGGCCACGCACCTACTTCAAGCTGAAGTTTTACGAAGGGGACTAGCCTGATCATGATCATGCCAATTTCATCACAGAATTCATGGGGATGCGGCTCTCTTTGAAGAATGTACAAAATGGCAACTTTCAGTTGCGAATTTTCATAGCAGACTTCTCATCGATGTCCCTTTCTTTACTGACTGCACTTCTCATCTCTTTTGTGACCTCGTGGGCACAGAATCTGGGAAAGCCACCATAGCTGTCGATCTCTCCTACCTTGAAGAAGGATTTTGAATATACCTGCGGCCTACGACTGCTACGTGGGATCTATGGGGACCAGGCTGGATTCCTCAGTCCTGCCTTGATGAGGTCAATAGAAAGGGAAAATGCGCCGCTTCTAACATGGAAGTTTATAATGTCCATTATAATGACGTTCGTCGTTTGCACTCTGTCCTTTGCATTAGGCTGACTTAACACCAGTGCTGTAAGTTGGATACTGCAAACGTTAGGATTTTTTTTACCATTCTGAACCAGCGACTGCCTGGGTAATGTGTCGATGCAATAACGCTGACATGAGGTATGTATCCCACAACCGACTCCAGCACATTTTTGTCTCACGGGTGCTTTTCAAATTGTAGTATTCTGAATATGGTCGACGCTTTTGGCCGCCTTGGAAAATATTAAACGATTTGGATCATGTACCACCAGTTTTGTTCACTACTTCGAATACGTAGATTCACGATAGACATAACAATCACGATCCCAATGAGGACTGCATCAAATATGAAATGCTCCGCATCTCTCCGCGAAACCATCCAGGCTCTGAATTCCTTCTCGCTGACTCTATAGGCAGGCTTGGAACTTTACCTTTTATTCCTATCTACCGCTGGCTGTCCGTTCGTGAGCAGCTCAGGTCTCACGACGAGTATATCTTTTACCGACCCTGGCTGAGCCAAACCAGGAGTCCTTTTCCATTCACCTGCGCTGTCAAGTATAGCGTCACTAGGTTCTCCATACTCCTTGGGATCCAAATCCAAGTCAGAAAGATGTGAAATTAGGCCCTCCGCCCCGCATTTGTTTCGATGGGGAGCAGCAACAAGGTACCCATGTAGAATCTTGATCAGCGCTGGGGATGTACGAGAGATACCAATCGAGGAGATTGTTACAATCTTTGGAGGTGGCGATGGAAGTTAGAAAGGACGTTGAGAAGGGCGCGAGTTTTGGAGGTGGAATGAGAATTCCCTTGGTGATATATGAAATGAGCGAGA